CGGGAAACGGGTTTTGGAGCTGGAAAACGGATCACCCGCGCGGGAGAAATATTCCGCGAAATACCGCCCAACGGTCATAAATGCAACAAAACATGTGCAGCTTTGGGCTGTTTTTCAGATTACGATGAAGAAAAAACAGCAACGTTGACAATGAGTTTTATTTTTTACATTATACATGATTTTATCATTTGTTAATTATTTCAATTTTTCTTTGAGAAGTGAGTAATGTTAGTTTTTAAACATCTACTATAGGGTATATTCTAAAAGTCATACTAATTTGCCATGCACAACATCAGTATAATATATCACTTTTGTAGCAATTGGGGGTAATTTTAGAACACACCATTTAAAATTACTCATCTTTTGAAAATAGTTTCATTGCCGCCATTTTCTGTTAATCCATAGGGAATAAGCATGTCTAGGATAACGTTTTTAAACGTGGATATTACTCGCGCAACTTTTCTTGAACGATGGATTGAAGAAATGTGGGTAGAGTGGTAGTTACGAAATCGGCCACTAGATTTAATGAAGCAATGCCAATCTCTGGAGAATCAGTCACGCCTTCGTAACGTTCTCAATGATTTGCGTTCTAAATTTATCAGGAGTTCGAGGTACCTCATGTGATAGATCCCTACCTGCTTGGGACATTTCTTTAGGTTTTTGGAGAAAATAACCGATAGAAATTCTCTTCTTCAAAAGAAAATTGTTTCTGTTTCGCGCCGGTGAAAATGTGTTTGGAATGTTGTCATCAGTGCTCGCTGCGAGCTTTTGCCTTCAGCAGTTTATTGTGCCAGAGAGGGGGAAGCAAGGTCATCGTTCAAGAAAAGTTGCGCGAGTAATATTAAGAGAAGCAAGGACAGTGAAAATGGGGAAGTCGGGAAAATTATTTTATCCCTAAAAGTATTCCTCCAATCTGCTCTATTCGTACGAATAGTCAAAACGAATTTTTAAATATTAAGATATAACAAAAGGTAGAAGGTTTTACTTAAATATTATTAATTACAATGTTCATAAATAAAAAACCTAATCGAGCATTTCATAGGGTTACTACCTCAGAAAAAACCTTCTAATACAATTATTTTCATTCAAAATCAAATTCCCCGCTTGGAATGTTGAAATGTTCTAATTGGAAGGTTTTACATCTAACGGCAGGTGTTTGTATGAAGCTTCTGACAACCCTGGTATTGAGATCCACTGAAGTAGAAATAATACTTATCCATGATTCAGTACATCCTTCGGTGGGATTCTTAACTGTTTCCTTATTTCGATGCGGTATTTCGTTCTATTCCAGTGTTGTGAACGTTAAACCTCAAATATGAATTTTTTACTGTAACGGTGTTCCATCACTGTGAAGCGAGAATGAAGAATGGAATAAGGACATTAGGTTTACTAGTGTTCAGTATACTTGAAGTATCATATTCATATATCAATGCATTAAAGAATATGAATAATACGTACGGAACTTCTTAAAAATTAATTTGCTGAAAATCATTAAAATGTGGAATGAAAAAAGACAAATATTTTGTTGAAGAATTGTAGAATAACAATTAATTTATATTTGTGAGCAGAACAGATTTTACGTAAGATAATTAAAAAATACCGAGACTCAAATGCCCTTGAAGTCGTAACATCAAGTTGTTTATTTATTTTTTATTTAATTTAATCAATTGAATTCCTTTTTCTCTCTAGAGCAGTTGAATTTACTTTCTGTCGGATTTCACAATTATTTTTGTACTGAAAGAAATTGAAGAATCCGCTCGATTCCATTAACGACGCTATCCCTTATTCATTAAGCAAATTGAATTACGATTCTTGTGGCCTTTATCCCGTTCTCCCTTTATTGCTGCCTTTCTCATTTCCTCTTCCCGAATCGTTTTTGCAATCATTAGCAACTGCAGCACGCAGTTCTTTCAGGAACATTTCTTTATTACACTTTAGATAACTGCTGTACTGTTTTATCTTTCTGCTAGATGTCATTTAAATTGATTGTGAATAATGGATCATTGGAAACCATCACTCATTTATTAGTTTTCGAATTTTTGGACAACCGCGTATTTCACTTTTTCGACAGACGCATTCAAAATTAATATTATATGTCACTAGTTCATACAGAATTAAAATGCCTCTTTGTCTAAAAGTTGTCGGCTGTATCTCGTTTTCGTATTATTAAAATTATGTTAGCAATTTGCAAGCTTGTTTATCAGTCAAATTATCTTAAAGAAGCAGAATTCTTTTCTCGGAACATCATGGAAAGCGGTATCAGCGTTTGATTGGGAGATATTGTATCCAATTACATTCTAGCTGACTCGGTTAGGTTTACTTCGTAAAAATACTTTCGAATGGGCATTTATGCTTACCTCTATCTGGGATGCCACAACAGTTTATAAACAATTCTGCCAATTTACAACTTTTACGATTATGGGAAGAAGTCTAGAAATAGATAAAAAAAATGTTTATTTATACAGATTATGATTACACAAAATGAGAGGGCATACGACACCGTGGAGGCATATTACAGTATTGCCAAGGTATTTTCGCAAAGGTATAGCCTGAGTGTGAAACTGTTTTCTCATAAAATTAGTTTGAATGATAATTGACACATATCTCAGACTTATAATTTAGATGAGGTGTTGGAAGTGAATTTTGAGGCAAATTATGGAAAATTATTTTATTCCTGACAGTTAAGAGATGCATGAATTCTATTGTATACTTTTGTATATTTCTGTTCACTATTATGTTTTACAATTTACACCTTATTTTAAAAAAATGTGGAATACTATTGTATTTATTATAAATGGAAGAAAAAAATTCATTAAAGTAATTTTCATCTCAGTTGACGTCCTATTTAAGAAAGTATAATACTATTTGTACCTTTTAAGAGCCTATTTACGTACCAAAATGTCAGATAAGAGCCTAAATATCCGAAGCCCATAATCTTTTACCCTAAATATCCCTTATCCTATGAGAGAAGAGTTGCTACCGATTGAATGGCGTAATGTTCGTGCCGGCAAGGCTCTTAATGAGGGCGGGCACAGATAAAATATGGCCTATTGTTAGGGAATATTTTTATTATTTAAAGTACTTACTTGTTTGCTATACACTTTTAGAAAGGGGGTCCGGATAAAAGTTTTGCGGCGGGCCTCTCATTTTGGTACACTACTCAACTAATATAACGATACTAATATAACGATAAATTGCGTACGAAACTATGGCAACCTAATTTATTTTTTTTATTTACCTGACCGACATCCCTTAACTTCAGAAGAATATCATTTTAATTTTCTCCCAACTTTCAAATTATTTTTTTTAAAAATTCGAATGCTTAGCGAATATTTTGTAGGGAAATAGAAATGTTGTTTCTGTTTCCAGAGGTTTACTGTTGTTATTAGATTTAAAGTTTTATATTTAATGTCATTTTTATAGGTTGTAAACAACATTTAAAATCCAATAACATCACGCATATTCAGGGCCACTTCTTTCAAATATTGAAGGGGGGAAATGGAAGAAACAATTGAATGAGGGATCACGTATTTGAAGTTATAACATCGTAAGATTTTATGTGATTGTTATGTTGTTTCATATCGTTCAAATGATTCCCCCCTTAAAATTCACGAAGACCGACAATTCTTCAATGTCACAACGAACAGTCGATCCGGATCGCAGAGCCGCGAAGTTTTCGGCCAAAGGCGCATGCAAGGGGAACAAGGGGGAGGGGGAGGTGGGGGCTATCTGCGGCGAACACGAAAGTGTTGCGGCGAAGGCCCAGCGCGGCGGCGCGATGGGGCGGCGGTTGGTGCGATCAGGGTTAAAAATATTGACGAACGTTTCCCGCGTCCATTCACAGCGGCAGCGCGGTTGCGGGCGGCGCCGCAGGCAACCATAACTCGCCTGCGAGGCGCCGTGGCCCCGGGCCTTGGTGCGCAGCCGGGCGCTGCACTGCAAACGCCGCGTGCGGTCCCTGGCGGCGGATCCGCGCTCCGCCCCGCCGCAGGCCTGCCAACGTCGCGCTCGCCCGACCGCCGCCGCCGCCGCAGCTGGCACGCGAAGAGCTGCGCGATACCATGAAAGATGAAGGGAATGGAGAACAGGGAAGTGCCTTTCCGTTATTCAATACTTCAGTAGTCAAATGTGTCTTGATTTATTAAGATAATTTTTGTATAATTGTAGTTAAATAAAAATTCGATTGAAATTGATGTCAATAAAATAATATGATTGTTAAAATAATACTTCATATGATTGTCATTGCTGTTAGAAGATACCACTGCACATAAAAATGTACGATATATAGTCACTTTAAATTTCACCTTTAATTAAGAAAATTAATATATAAATAGATTTGCAGGACTGGTAAACCCATTGTTGTTCGGGTAGTACGTATTTGTAGGACATTTCTATTGTTTTATATTCTTTATAACCTTTTTCTAAAATCCTACTACAGAGTTATCATTATTACTAAAGACAAATGGAAAATGAATTTAATTTATTAAAGAGGAATTTATTTTCAATGCTCTGCGATAACTCACGAATCGATTGTTTGACGTGTTCGTTACAAATTCATGGATGCAATGCAGGGTGGTAGTTTCAAAACTTCATAAATGAACGTTCATTTTGTTTCGAAACTACCATCTCTTACTCGCTTTCAAGCAATTTTACATGGTCATGCAGTTCGGGAAAAAAGTAAAAAATTGGTAGATTCTGAAAAGTTATATTGTTTTCAAATGAAATGTATGATGTTAGTTGTGATAACTATAAATGGTAATTCGTAAATGGTGTTAAAGTGAGAAAAGAAGATCAATGGGATAGTCAGGAATGTCAATCGATCCACTGATGTTGCGACGCATTAGACCCGTCACAGTGTGTGTGTTACATACTAGGTAACCGCCTGGGACAACGTCCGCGTTGCTCCGCGTCTTGGTATTCACAATTACAGAGTCCTTGAGTTGCTGCTACCATTCCCACTTTGAAGGTTAAACGCAGTGCATTCTATAACGTCCTTTGTAATGGGCGAGGTGCCCTTGGACTGTTTTCAGCACTTGCTTCGAAGCGACGTAATTTCAAATCCAAAAATATGCACTGCTTGGTGAACTTTTTGTAATGAAATGTTATTTCGTCTAGTCTCTAGTGAGATACGGTCTTACTGATAAGCTGACCTCGACAGTCGGAGTTCATTAGCTCTTGTATGTCTACATATAACATGCACGTCACGAATGGAAATACGATAGTACACAAGACAGTACAATTCTTCGCCCCATTCAATTTTTATTCGGCTACAAATGCTCATCATGCGAACCCTAAAACAAGACAGGGTTAGTATATTTCTAGGAGTCTGGGCCCCATTTTCCATTCACTATTTTTATTTACATGGGGTAATTTTTACTAGTAAATAAATAAAACATACGGCAAGAAGAATTAAATTGTAACTTAAATGATACAATTAATAAATTACTGATTTTGTTTTGAATTATTTACAGGGTTGCCAGATGGTTTGAAAAGCCTCTTTCTCAAAGTAGGGTATCAATTCCCCGAATAGTCAGCTTAAAAATTGAAATAATTGATCGTATTTTAGGGAAGCAAAATGTTTCATTACATAGGGCCAAGGAGCCTCTTTGATATTTTGAGGAAGGACACAATAATCCTGCCTCTCCTTCTGAGCACAAGTCTAGGCGTATACGTTCATTAATGACAACAAAGAAAGTATGAAGGTGAAAATGTTCTCATCGATTCCTTCTACTCAGTAAATGCAATAAAACTAATGTGAGGATACTTGTTTTTTAAATATGTTGTAGAGGTATTTTATAAGTTGATTTCGTTAAATGATTGTCAAGGTTACGTAATGGGAAAACAACAATTCGATATTGCAACATGCAATTTACACTATAGTGAAACAAAAGAAAGTACCAAGAATTTTACTACGTAGTTATGTTCTCAGAAAAATCTTATTAAAACGAATAAACTCAGCCCATTGAAAATAGCGAACCATCATTCAAAATGCTTTTAGTTCACCGTGTACCTAGTGACCTTTAAAACCGCTGTGTCAAGTGGCCGAGATAGCGCCGCGCCGCGCCGCGCCGCGCCGTGCCGCCTCGCCGCGTTACGAAGTCCAGGCAGTTCGCGGCGGGTTAGTTGGTTTCGCGGGCAGCGGTTGGCAGCGCCTCTCAGATCAAACTCTGCCGTCGGAAGGCCTGTTGGCCGGGCGCCCCGTCGGCAGCGCTGCTGTTGCGCTCGTGACACGGCACGGAGCAGAGCCCGCAACGGCAGTGCTGTCTCGGCTGTGCCCGTTCCGCCTGCTGTACTTTATTTATTTATTTTTTCTGAGATCGCCGTGTGGTGTGAAGTGTTGTTGTTGTTGTTTGTGATTGTTGTGGACCTCCAGTTCGCAATCGGTGGTAAGTGTTGAAGCTCAGTGTTAGCTGTAAGGCTGTATATTTGTGTGTGGGTGCTGTGCTTTACGTTTATTGCAGACGGGTAAGTGTTGCTGCGTTTCGCGGTCGCTCGCCGCGGCTTGGCGCGTGTTGTGCGGGACGCGGGCGGGGGAGTGTGCGCGTGGAAAATGAACGCGAGTGACTTGTGATCGTGACACGGTGCGTGGTCCACGCCTATTTTCGCCTTCGCCGGCACATCACAAAACACGCATACACAGCCCACGTTGGCTGGGCATAAACACACCGCGGAACGGTTGGTTATTTATAAACATATTTTTGGACGATGATTCATTCGAAACCCATCCAGAACCCTTTGAAGACTGCTTGGCACGGGGTTTGGGTATTTATTATTTAGATTCGCGCCGGTATTTTTTTTCCCCTACGGCGGCGTTGTAGGTGGCGCGAGTGTTGTACACGTGTATTGTGTTTCCGTGTGTGGGGGTCGGTTTCTGCCCCTGCTGTGGGCGCGCATCGTTTCGGTAGATTCCCTTGAACGCCGCACACGAGGCGGGGAGCCCCAACGGCATGGCAGAGAGAAGTATTGATCTGAAAATAGCAGCGCCTGCTTCACCAAACGCGGTGGCAATGTACGAATCCGCCGTTGAAGACGACAGAGTGGTATAAATATAGAGAAGATGTGTTCTCCCTGAAGCACCCATTCTGAAATACTATCGGCTTAGTTGTTTGTGTTTACACAATGATGTGATTGAAACACGTTTCAACTGGTTGGACAGTTATTTATAAATTTAAAAAAATATAAAAAGCATCTGACTGTAATGGTACATACTTCATACTAAAATATATGTAATTCGGTGTAAACGAGGTTAAACTGGTAGATTTGTTTTCTTTTGTTTTAACGCATGCTCATTGATGTTTATCTGTATGTTGCCATTGGTGAACCTCGTCATCGGATGAACTGCTTTCAAGGAAATTCAGTAATCGCCAGACCACACGTCAATTGTTACTCGTGTGTATTCGAACATACCAAACCCCACGAAATATGGAAAGCAATTGTTCATACAGCGCATTCGCGGAATCTGGGTCGTCGGGCCGTGATAATGAAAACTGTGTGTTGTGCGAGGGCGGGTATCGGAAGTGTGTGTAAAGGTCACTTTTTAAAAAGAGGTGCTTGCCACACGAGCTATCGTGGAGGGAGGGGGGGGGGTGCCCTGTTAGTAAAAGAAGATGCGGCCGTGGGCTCCGTGCTTGTCGTACCGGTTCCACAAGCTGGTCTCGTGCTCGCGTGGTTTACTTTCGCTGCACTATTTTCTCGGAAATGTAAACACGGGTCTCGACGGGACGAGCCCTCGATTCGTTCGGACGCGTTGAGTTGCGTCGAGCGAGTCGCGGGCAAGGTGTCAGCCCAGGCCTGCGTTTTCGTGTGGTGGCGGAACATTTTTCGGTCAGTAGATCGAGCAGACGAGGTCTTAGTAAGTTTAAGGAAAATTGTTTTGTGCGGACGTGTTTTGCTACTAAGTTTTCCGAAAATAGTATCAGTACAAGTGTGAATGGCGACATTGTTAGCTTCTTTGCTTCGATTCTAGCGACAAATATAAGAACCATACCCGAACTCTGTACTTTTGTGTAGTTCAGTAGCGTGTCTATGTTCGAATGTATCCGTATATGTATCTGCTGCGAAATGTTTGTTATTAAACCGTTAAACAGGCGAAAGCGTGTTGCATATGAAGTTAGTAGCTGCGACAAGTGTTACAAAATGTGTAGCTCATAATTCGTTTTGCTTCATAAACTGTTCTGTTTTGCAGGCAGTTTTCTGCTTACATTCAAAACAGTTGTCGATTCTTGACGTTGAAACTGAAATGTACTTAACAACAGCTGAAAGCAGACTTCATGCTGCTGATTTGTGACGCAAATGTTGGCGGTTTTATATAGCAATGTAACTAAATTGTATCAGTCATCTGCGGTGAACTCTGCCTGAGGTTAAAGGTTCTCGCAGTGCTTCTAGTTTATCTGCAGTCAGAGAAAACGACGGGTTTAAAAGAGGAAAAAAAGACAAGAGAAAAATAAAAAAAACAAGGGAAGGGGGACGAACGAGTGACAATGAATGGGGCAGATGGGAACGGAGGCCCGTTTGAATGAGGGCTGCTTACCCCGTCGTGGAAAAAGAGGGAGAGCGGCTAGTTGGTGGTTGAGTAGGCAGAGGTGATTGTCACCCCGGGGTGACGTGACACATCCCCGAAATCGTAATTTTTATTTTTAGTAAAGTGAAAAACGACGTTTTAGAAAACGTAAATTTGTACTAGTAAACATTTCATGAAGGTAGCCCATAAGACAACTGTAATGTAGAGTTAAACACGAAGAAAACGTCTCTCCACGTAAAATAAGGCAAATTCAATTCAATTCAATTCAAAGAAATGAGGTTTTGCACGTTTTGAAACGGTTCTCCCTCGATCGGTCAAATTATATGTCACTTTTCTTCGTCGACGATATCACTTTTATCCAGTTGCGGTGTTCGTTTTTCTTATTACACGGTATGTTGATACCGTAAATTTATTTCATGTATGTTACATCGATAACATTTACCGAACTTCAATGTTATTTACCGAACTTTGTCTTTTCAGGTGTAACATAATTCTAAACTCGGAATGTTATATTTATTAAAAACAACCATAATTTTAAAAATCATTAGAATTTTTTTGACAGTTGACTGCTGGATGGCTTGTTTTGAATTTGTTCATTTCTGAGATTACTAAATCCTTAATTTTCTTGTGGACTGTTACGTGTACCTGCTAACATCCGAATTGCTTGTGTACTTGAAATAAAACCCGTGAATGTGAGACGTCATTTCTGAATTCTGACAACAATATCTAGATTATTTAAAAATCTAGATTATTCGGCTCAATTAATTTTCATCTTCGAGATTTCTCGAGGAAAAACGTGACATCGAAATGGCGATATACTTCTGTTTTCAATGAACACTGGCTTCGCAGTTTTGGTGCTGCAGAATATTTCAGTATCGGCGTATCCGCATATTAAAAGAAAATTGCCATCTGCGATAACCACTTCGGCGTGGCGGTGGGGGCAACGGTGCCGAGCCGACGTTGCCTGAATTAAATATAATTCACACACAGATTGGGCGATCGATATTGCAAAATATTTGGTTGGTGATGGCCCTTACCGCGGTGTATCCAATACTATCGGTATTTCAAAATGAAATGGACAGTAAAGGGAGTAGCTTAGTTAATAGGTTTTCCAACCATCCTCCTATTGAGAGGATACTTCTCCATTATTAGAAATAGTCCTCCCGTCCTCTATTTATAAATAATTCCCTCATTTTCCAAGAAATGTCCATGAAATCAATTATTAATATTTATCAATAATGCTCTAGAGTATCACAATGCTCAAATAGATGAAAATGGAAATTATTTGAAGTCATTAATATAAATATTTCTCTTATTAAGTTACTACATATTTTTTAAAAAAGTACATAATGTGGTCTTCTACTTTTGTTTACATGCTATCGGAATCTAGAAGTACTGCAGCTCAGAGACAAAGGCACGAATTGCAACATGGATATTGCCATTATTTCAAGCATCTCATACCAATTTCAATCCTAAAGGCCGTTTTCTTTGTGTCCTTTTTTGTGAAATAACGTTGTCAACTTATACGGCAACCACGTTGTTGGTGTGCGGGCGTCAGTAAAGCAGGCGGTGGGGCGGCCAGGTGGGCTATTTCACGGGACCGATTTTGTGTGTGTGTGTGTGTGTTGTGTGTGTGTTGTGTTGTGTGTGTGTGTGTGTGTGGTGTGTGTGTACGCGTCGCGTGACCCAGTCAGGGCCGGAAGAGCCGGGCGGGCACCCGTGCTCGCGCCCTCGCGCCCTGGCGCTGCGCGGCGGGCCGGAGCAGCACGGGAGGCGCCGCGCGGCGAGTTCTCATTACGGAGTATGCGGTACGCGGAACTCTCTTGAAACGAGCGCGGCGCCCCGCCCCGCCCCGCCCCCCCGACCGCCCCGCGCGCCGCCCCGACCGCATCCGGCGAGAGGGAAAGCGATTTCGGCTCTGCGTTGCCCGCGCTGGAGTAGACGATGCGCTTGTCGACGGGGAACGGAAATGCGAGGTAAATTTCGTGGGTGCTGTACGGTAGGGGCCTGGGCAGAAGACCCAAAATTGTGCCTAAGTTCAATTTGTAAACCGAAATTCTGCGTTGCTGCGTTGTAATTGTTGCCAAAATTGTGCCTAAGTTCAATTTGTAAACCGAAATTCTGCGTTGCTGCGTTATAATTGTTTCATGTTCGAATGCCGGTCGAACGTCACAAATCAGTATAAGCTATATGACTCTCGAGGAGAAATATCTACAAGTTTTTCTAAGCTCCGGACCTTGGATATTACTCCATAAACGAATACATGTAGTTCTGTAATATTCGCATGGAGGTCGAAAGCTGCTATTGAAATTTGGCGAGTCGACATGTGTACGGATTGTTGTATTCAATGTTATTTTTGGTGAAATTTGTCGATGGGGAAATCCAATTTGTAGATAAGGATTGAAAATTTGGGATGCTGTTTAGAACAAATTATTAATCACAACATTTTTGCAAGTTGAAAATGTTAGTTCCATACCGGATGCAAATTCTAATGTCTTTTCGGACGGTTGCAAAATAGGTTTTTGTGTGTTTTCATAAGTTTTCAACTCATTTCCAAAGCAATGCACTAATATACGACAGTCGTGCATTAGAAATGAAATTAAGTGATAAAAATGGCCAATTACGGAAGATTTGTGGAAATTAAGGTACAAAATATGTTTATAGTTTAAATAAAAACTTCTGTTACGAAACATCACATTGCGGGTTTACCACGATAGAAATCTCGATGTATGGCAAGTATGGATTTTCACAAGTATGGTAGGATTTAAAAAAAAAGTGCTAAAGAAATTTGATCGATGGAATTGCCAGTGATTATAAATAGTGTTACTACGAAGAACATTATTTACAAAAATATCAATGGGTTGG